GGTGGAAGCGGAACGAACACATGTTCCCATGTCTCGGCATGCTAGCAAGACAAGTGTTGTCTGTCCCAGTATCAACCGTAGCAGTTGAACGAGAATTCAGTGCTGGCGGCAACATTCTAACCGACTACCGAAGTTGTCTTAACGCTGAATCTCTTGAACACTGGTTTGCAACCAAGATTGGCTCTTGGCAAGACGTCGGGCTCAAGAGTCATCGTACCAACTCGAATCGGAGCATTACATGAATGCAACCACAGATGGAAGTCCGAGTTCTGAAGAATAAGTTATAAATTTTTTTTATGTTAATGTAAATATGTAATTAATTTTTTTAGGTGAGCGATATATAAGCTCCTTCGAGGGTTTCTTTACGGTTCTTTACCTCGTCGCTTTTTTTGAACCGTCAGGATATTAAATGTGGTTGTTCTTCAGTTAGTGTATTACTCATTTTCAATATTTAAATAACAACTACATTTTTAGATTTTTTATTTCATTTTTTCCTTAAACAATTGCAAATTTACAATTTTATACTTTAAAAATTTAAAAAAAAAAAGCAAAAAAAATAAAATAGGGGGGGGGGCCGAACCCGGCCGGTCCGATACCGGAACCGCCGGTTCGGGAACCGGAACCGGTACCGGCCGGCACGGTAACGATTCCGGTTACTTGGGGTGGCGGTACCGGAACCGGTGGTTCCGGAACCAGAACCGTCCCGGAACCGTACCGTGTCCACCCATCACAGCTCCTTCGCATGAATAGTGCCTGAATCGCCGGCTCGTCGCTCCCGTCCGTATTTATTGTCAACACAAAAAAAATACAGTGTCGACCTTGACTGCTAATATGGGTGTGTTTCTAGTATTTCTGTGGAGATTAATTTTAATCTTAACTACACCTTAATTATACTCTCTTTGTTCTAAAATTCTATCCCAATTAGGGCGTACTATTTTAGAATCTCGATAACTTTATTTTGTTCACATTTTTTCATTGATCATTTGATAAAATAAATTGTTCTTGTTACGTCTTATTTTGTCGAACTTTTGGCGTAACTTTAAACTATGTAATATGTGTTTTTTTTATTTTAATACAAATTTGTAAATAAATTTATTTTAAAAAAAATTGCAATGTTGTTTGAAGTGAGACACAGTTCAAAGGACGGAGGCAGTAGATTGATAATTCACCGCTCCAAAAGGTGGAATCGTCCACCCTAGGCGCCCCCACCCCCCGGCCCGACATGGATGGTGGATTAGGTAAATGATGGTGACTCAGTCGACCAAGAACACTAGGCCCGTGCCCACTGCGCCCACCGCGCACAAGGAGCGTCCTCACCCTTTATGGTATTTTTGGATAGCTCCCACAATGCCGCTTGCGGGACTCGATCCTTAGTCATCGGTTCAAGATTTCACATTCTCGACCGACTGAGCTACCCATGCAGGCGTAGATTGATAATTCACGAATGCGGTGGTAGGAGCTCAGTAAAATGGTATGCAAAGGAACACATAGATAGATGGGGGGCATTAGTGTCATCTAACATGGTAAAACTTGTCATTTAACTTTTAAATGTTGATAAGATAGTTTTAGAACAAGCCAAAAAAAGTGTAATTTCTAAATAAGAAAAAACTTAGCGGTATCTCAAGTTGGTATGTTCCAACTAGGGGTGTTCAAAAATATCCGATCCGAAATATCCGTCCACGATCCGGGCTGAACCGATCCGAAAAATAGATATCCGATCCGATATTTTAGCTTGCGGATATTTCGGATCGGATACCCGAAAAGAATCAGATCGGATATGGATTAAATTTCTGGATTTTTTCGGATAATCGGATATCCGATTTTTTTTTTGCTATATGTTTTTGGAATTTTATGGATATATATTATGACTATATGTTTAAATGTAATTTTATGTTGATTTTGGAAATCACCCATTTTGGACTTTTTGCATTAGCATTTTAGAATTTTTTGTTTTAATAGTTTTTTTTGCTTGTTTAGGCAAAATTACCAAAGTTACTCCCAAATTAAATTTTGTATCATTTTTTTATTAGGCCATTACCAAGTGGTGGAATTTTTCTTTTAGTAAATCTATATTGAATTTGATATTTTGGGTTGATTTTGCTATTTTACCTTTTTTTGTAAATTTTGGCTAAAAATTCAACTTTTCGGATAATCCAGTGATTCGATCCGAAAAATTGGATATCCGAATTTCGGATATCCGAATATTTTCGGATCGGATATGGAATGAGTTTTGCATGATCCGAAATTTTCGGATATCCGAATTTTCGGATCGAATCAATTGGATCAATCCGATTGAACACCCCTAGTTCCAACTTCCAAGTGTACACCAACTTCTTATAGACACACAGACACCCACTGTCTATGTCAAGGGTATTTGTAAGAAACTGGTGTACATCTAAGATACACTAACTTAGAGTATCCCTAGCAAACTCCTTCTCAACAAGACTCTGCTATCCCTCCCTCACATGTTTTCCAAATTTTCCTTTGGAGAGATTACAAAAAGTGTTTAAAAGTAAGTAAAAAAAAGTTTTCATATTTCTATTTAAAAGAGAGAATCAAATATTTTTTTCAAAAGAAAAACAAAAAAAGTGAAAACTTGTTTCATCTCGGTGTATTTGTCTAGTTTGACTTTTTCGAGTCAAACTGGATGAACTTTGAACTTCAATTAAACAAAAAATGAAATGTATATTAGTATAAAAATGATTTATTAGATATAACATGATGACACTGAACATAGAGATTATCCAAAGAAACGAGACAGGGCAAAATCGTCGTATTGAGAATGCCCCGACATTCAAGTTCAAGACGAGACAGCATTCAGAGAATCACACAATCATAATCAAGCAACAACATCATATTCATTTTCGCTCCCGGATTGAAGCTCGAGTTGTAAAAATTAGCAGAGTGTTTATGGTAGTAAATCCCACCCCATCTTGAAAGGGGAAAAGCACATTATATATGTATAGACATACAACACACAAGCATAGTATCCCAAGGGGGACCGAGGGGAAACTTCCCATTCATTCGAGTCCCCTTCCGAGTGCTTATTTTTATCTCTTTGTAGAAAAGAAAGAGAAGAATCCGAACCGGGTAGGCAGCTCTTGAGGAGAAACTTCAAATGGAGATCCCCATCGACTTCTTCATCTTCTCAACTTCCAAATACACAGTCGAGTATGGCAGGAACTCAGAGAAATAGCTATGGCTCAGATCATTTATTGCAACAGCAAGCTTGGGAATCTCCAGGGTCTCCTCGTGGGTCAGGGTACGGACAAACCTTGCCGGATTCCCAGCCCAAAGCTCACCCGTTGGGATTCTTCTTCCTGGTGGGACCACAGATCCTGCTTCAAGGATTGAATGGGTCTCGACCAAAGAACCTTCCATGAGTATGGAGTGTTGACCGATGATGCACTCTGGCTCAATGGTGCAGGATCTCAGAAGACTGTATGCACCAATTGTCACATACCTTTCAATGGATGTTTCTGCCGGAAGCCCTGGGAAATTCAAGACAATAGATTCGTTGTTCAATGTATATCCCTTAATTTAATCAAAATATACAAGTAAAATAAACATGAATTTAAGTGCATTTAGATAGACACGTTTTTCCCCTGTTTGTTTGGCTTTTTACAATGTGCTGGCTGAAATGTTGAATTGGAGGATAAAATAATAAAGGGATGCATTAGAAACTCCTTTTTTAGTGAAATAAAATGGCTGGAAATGAGAATTATGTGATCATTTTTAGATATTGTTCTCATTGATTGATTAGAAATAGATTTGAAATCCATTTCAAAATCATTCAGCATTTTTATCAGTAGTTCCAGAAAGTCCAGATTATTGAGAAACTTCAATCATTTCACCCAAATTTACTGTCACCAAACAAGTTTGGAAGTTCACTCTATAACCATTTCCTAGTTGCAAACCCGTAACTTTTCTAGCCTTACCACATGATGATCGTAACATATAAAAGCATCTCCAATACATTCATCTTCTTTATTAAATCTTTTTTCATTACGCAACATATTCAGATCAATATAACAAAAAGTTATTTGCTTGCTGGTACATGTGCTACCTCGTAACATGTTGGATAGAGGAACCTCACAAATTTAAGTCAGTTTGGATGATGGGTTTTGGAAGGGGGGTTTGGGAGGGCTAAGTTTATACCGTGATTAAAAAATTCTTTTATATAAATTGACAGAATTAAATAATAGGTGACCATATAAATTCTCAATCACACATCATACATTTTCTCAAAAATGTATTTATCATGATAGGAACTAAACTCTCTATAATTTTCCAATGAAAA